TCCCCATCTGGTTCGCATCGTTTGACCCTTTGACCTCACTCCTGTCCCTGTTCTTTTATTAGTTGTCCCCTGTAATTTTTTGGTCTCCAGGTCCTGTGGACACCCCCCCCCTTAGGCTGGGGGGGAACCTTTAGCAGTGGGCGGGCTTCGCCCACCCACTTCCTGGATCCCAATAGAATCAACCTCAGCCTGGACCAGTCCACACAAGAGATCCACTTCCTGGACACTACTGTGCAAATAAGTAATGGTCACATAAACACCACCCTATACTGGAAACCTACTGACCGCTATACTTACCTACATGCCTCCAGCTTCCATCCAAGACACATCACACGATCCATTGTCTACAACCAAGCCCTAAGATACGACCGCATTTGCTCCAATCACTCAGACAGAGACAAACATCTACAAGATCTCTATCGAGCATTCTTAAAACTACAATACACACCTGGGGAAGTGAGGAAACAGATTGACAGCGAGACGGGTACCCAGAAGTCACCTACTACAGAACTGGCACAACAAGGAAAATAACAGAACATCACTGGGCATCACATAGAGCCCCCAGCTAAAACCTCTCCAGCGCATCATCAACAATCTACAACCTATCCTGGAAAACGATCCCCCACAGGCCAATCCTCGCTTACAGACAGCCCCCCAACCTGAAGCAAATTCTCACCAGCAACTACACGCCACACCACAGAAACACTAACCCAGGTACCAATCTCAGTATCAAACCCCTTTGCCTTCTCCGTCCCCATATCTACTCTAGCGACACCATCATAGGACCCAACTACACCAGCCACACCATCAGGGGCTTGTTCACCTGCACATCTACTAATGTGATATGCCATCATGTGCCAGCAATGCTCCTCTGCCATGTACATTGGCCAAACCGGACAGTTTCTATGTAAAAGAATAAATGGACACAAATCAGACATCAGGACTGGTAACATACAAAAGCCAGTAGGAGAACACTTCAATCTGTTATTGAACGTCCAGGGAGATTGAAAAGTAGCCATCCTTCAACAACAAAAACTTCAAAAACAGATTTCAAAGAGAAACTGCAGAGCTACAATTCATTTGCAAACTTAACACCATTAATTTCGGCTTGAATAGGGACTGGGAGTGGCTGGCTCACTACAAAAGCAATTTTCCCTCTCTTGGTATTAACACCTCCTCATCAATTATTGGGAGTGGACCACATCCACCCTGACTGAATTGGCCTTGTCATCACTGGTTCTCCACTTGTAAGGTAACTTCCTTCTCTTCATAGGCCAGTATATTTATGCTTGTATCTGTAAGTTTCACTCCATGCATCTGAAGAAGTGGTTTTTTACCTACGAAAGCTTATGCCCAAATAAATCTGTTAGTCTTTAAGGTGCCACTGGATTCCTCACTGTTTTTGTGGATACAGACTAACACGGCTACCCCTCGGATATTAAATGAGTATCAACTATATACAACACTAAGAACAAGGAAAAACTTGCAGGAGCAAGGAAGAACACTCCAACAACTGTCATGGGTGGTAAGAAGGAACCGAGGGAGATTGGGGGGTGGTTCTTCCCTTTATACAATTGTGCAGCCGCGCCAGGCAGCACAGGGTGCATGCGCTGCCCCAACAGGTAAGGGAAAAAGTCTCCGACTCCAGTGCACTGGGTGCACACATATACCTGACAAGGAATTGACATGTGCATCATTGGAAGAAGAATTAGTAGGTATGTCTTTTTTTTTTTTTTTAGCATTGGCCATAGAGCCCTTTACACAAAAGAATAATGAATAATGAATTTATCACAGGAATAAAACTTGCAGGAACACATCAGAAAATAGCATTATATGCTGATGACTTTTTTTTAATCTAACCTGAATATTTCCCTAAAATTCGTATCTAAAGAAATCCAGGATTTTGGGAGTGTCTGGCGTTAAAGCTGAACTATTAGCTATAAATTTGCCAGTCCTCTAAGAAGTCATGCCTCTGGAAAACATTAGGGTACAAATGAGCATGGGAATTAAAATCTGAAAATCTAGAAGAGCAGTATGATTTAAATGTCAAACCACTACTTCAGCAAATGAAGAGAGCTTGGAGTGCTGGTGGAAGTATGCAATTTCTTAATTGGGAAGAATAGCCACGGTCAAAATTAATATTTTGCTAAGGCTATCTTTTTTTGTTCAAAATCTTTCTATAATCATTCCAGATAAAATTCTAACAAGAATATAGAAAATAACATTAGTATTTATACGGAATAAGAAAAGACTGAGTGTAAATGCAGACATTTTGTACAGACTTATTAAAACAGGATGAAGAAGCTGTTCCAAGTATTTTATGGTATTATCAAACCAGCCAGCTCAAAACAATAGTGGATTGGGGGTGCTCTAGAGCACCCCATCACTGGGTCTTTACTGAAGAAAAAAATTGGGGAATATGCTAGGTTACCACAGATTAATATAAAAAATATCCTCCAGAAATGTATATGCATTCTTTAAAAATGGCTAATATCTCAAAGCCATAGAGAACTAAAAGTAAAATAAAATTATTTGCCCTTGCCAACTATACCCATTGCAAATAATCCAGATTTTAACCAAAATCATGAACCAGAAAGTTTTATAGATAGGGAGAGCCATGGAATACATATGATTGACCAGCTGTTCAAAGAAACTTTTCTAATTTATTTAGAAATCAAAACTAACTGGCTGTGACACAGAGGACATTGGTGGTTCATTACTCTATGTCAGCAACTCTTTTCAGGAATGACAAACTCATTATACCTAACACACTGTTGTCATGACATATAGCCAAAAGATGGCATGTAATATATCATTGGAAAATTAGTAACTTACTGATCATTAATATTCTTGCATGATGTATGTACAGGCTGTGTACAAAGTTATAAATGAGCTAGAATTATGTTCTTAAAATGTGTTTGGCAAACAACGCATAATCCCAATCTGCCCTATACAAAGGAATGTGTATTTGCTTGTCTGACCAGCCAGATCAGACAGAGACAATGAAGATCTATTTACATAAGAGGTAAACAAAGCCATCAACCTACAGAGTGGGAAACAGAAGATCTTAAACTCAACAGGGGATGGAGACTCTACTCCCTGGAAGTCTTCCTGCATCTTGAAGGAGAGTTAATGACCTTTGGGAAGACAGCATGGTGCCTGCACCCCAGTAGGAGAGAGAAGCTTGGTCTAGGGCTTACTTTTTAAATAATACATTTCAAAAGGTTTACTGGACTATAAAAAGAAAAAGGAAAGAACCCCAAGGTTATCCATTACTTGGGGGATTCAAGGGGTCAGAGCTCTTGAAATCACAGAATGTTGGGTCATTCAACCAAGTCTCTGGAATTGATACAGGTGATAAACCTGCTTAGGTTTATCTCACTAATGGTTTCAGTCTTAGAAGCGTATTTTCACTTTTGTTTGCTTGCAACCCTTTCTGTTTTTATTTCTTATACTTGGTATCACTTAACCTATATCCTTTTGTTAATAAACTTGTTCTATTTTTCCTACAAACCAACTCAGTGTTGTGCTTGAAGGGAAGGGTGCATTACCCCAATTAAGTTACTAATCTGTAATGCCCTAACTCTTTAAAAGAGCAGCAAATATCTTCAGTGAATGCAAAGTGATAGGGTCTGTACATTGTAGAGAGACAACTCTAAGGTGCTCAGTGGCTGAGTTCATTGATTGTTACCTGCTAGGCAAGGCTAAGATTGGTAGAGTCTCAAGGAGTTTGCTGGTTGAGAAGATACTCTGGGGTGGCTGGGAGCTGACACACACGGTCTAATCTCCAACAAAGCTCAATCTTGCTGTGGTAGAGAGATAACACAGTGGCTCCAACCAGTGTGTGTCAGACTGGCCCACTCTCCTAAGACACTTTCAAGTTAGATATTATTTTCTCCACTTTCTAGAAGAGTGGTTTTTATACAGAAACTAACTTTAATAGAAATGTTGGCTTCTGGTCGATTAGGGGAGAAAACATTGTCAAACTTTGCAGACAACTTTCCCAACAAAGAAATGTCCCTGTGACACAGAGGAAGAAGGATTTGTACAGACAAATTACCTCCAGAAGAATGTGTTTTGATCTGTGAAACAGGACCTGCAACCTCAGTGTGTAGCATGATAAAAGAAAATTTCTTTAAAATACTGTTTCAATAGTATGCCAGTCAGATTAAAAATTACTTTATTTATATATAAAAATTGAATGAGGATAAATGTTGGAGAAATTGTGGTGAAAAGAAGAGATTTTATGCACATGGAGTGGACAAGTCCAGAGATTATTGGGATGCACTTCATAACCAAACATTATCAATTATTGTACATTTATTACCCTTGGTAATCCTTGTGGGGCTTCCTAGAGGAAACAGTCACAAAGAAATGAAGAATTAATCTCTCATATACTAATAGCCACTAGACAACTGATAGCCCAAAACGAGAAGAATGGTTCCAAAATAAATGGGAGGATGTTACTGAAAAATTAAAGAGGACAAAGATACTTTGATATTTGGGTACCATTTATTCAGGATTCAAACAAAGTACATTAACCTGCAGAAAAAAATCAGCATGTCTTTTAAAAAAATATTAATATTTGATAGACATGCCTGATTTGAGAAATATGAGTAGAGTCAGTAGTTTCACTCAATTTAATAAAATCATGAGAAATAATATGTTTTGGATGGTGTGAACAGGCTCAAACTGTTATACAATAAACACTCTGTTAAATAGGAAGATTTGATGAGATTTATATTCCTACATTATTTTTCTCTAAACAAAAAAAATAAGCTCACTGTTGTAATGATTATCATTCAGTTTCTGCTATTTACATGGCAATGGTTTGTAAAACTTCCCAACTAAATAGTTATTTAAAAAAAAAAAAAAACCTGAAGGATTTTACAGGATAAACTTAACCATTTATATTTTCCTGTTGGGAACAAAAATAAAGATTAAGATGTACATACAATAAATTATGTAATTTGCAGCCACCTTGATGTTTTATTTCTTACCTTTGCTCTAGAAGAACTGACATTCTCCATATTCTCAATGCTGCAGATGCAATTGTGTGAAACCTTACGGCAAGCTACTCGGATATAGTCCCAGAAGCTACGAGGGCTTTCATAGCCAAACCAGGTGATCTGACCTTAATCAGAAGACAGGAGACACAAAATTGTAGGTAAAGAATATGGATTGTTAGAAACAACGAGGACATATAGCCAACATTTTGGATACACCTCAAGCTTTGTTACCACTGTTATTGCACTAGTATAGCTGCACCAGAGGAACTGCACCAATGTAAGTCCCTAGTGTAAATGTGCTGCACTTGCATGGAAAGTGACTTGCACTGGTGCAGCTTACCTTGCTTTGAAACCAGTGTGTAGATAAAGATTTATTTTTGTCTTCGTTTATTTTTTTTTTTTAAGTATTATATTGCAATACCACCCAGAGCTCTAAATTGTAATCAAGGTCCCAGTGTACTTCACAAACTCAAAGGCAGGGTTCAAAAACAGCTAAAAACTCAAGTGCTGATAGTGACAATGGTTTTTTACTAGATAGGGCCATATACACTTCATGAATAAAAAGAATCAAAGACAGAATGGGAACCTGTTCCATAAAGTTATGCTTTACAGCAATTTTAAATTTATTCCCATTTGTTCTATACCATTGCTCCTATGCCAGCAGTTCCCAAACTGTGGGTAGTGACCCCATCACCAGATGGGGTTGCAATGATCCCTACTGTGCAGAGGACACCATTTTGCTATGTACAGCATGACCGTGCACGTACAGCGAGTGTGAGATCACAATGCATGCGAGATCACAATGCATGCAGGATGCCATCCTTCACACAGCATGTCCTCGCATGCACCATATGTACAGGGTCCTACACTGTGTGTAGGAAGCCATTTTGTAGAGAAAAATGGCATCCTCCATTCAGCGTGACTTCTCACATACACTGCATGCAAGGTCACGCTGTGCAAAGGATGCCATGCTGTTCTTCAAAATGGCAACTTGTATGCTGTCTGGGGTCCCAGCAGGAAAGTCTTCATTAAAGTGGCGTCATGATGCCAAAAAGCTTGAGAACCCCAGTCCTATGCCAACCAGTAGCAGATTTTGGGGCCCTGGCAGTTGGCTTCCCATTGGAGGAGCAATCACTGATGTGAAGTCTAAGTATTTTCTTATTGCAACTTGTTTTACTTGCAGTATATAAACCCACCAGTCCTTGAATAAAGGTAGTAAAACAGCATGTAGCAAATTCCCTTTCAGAAATCTTAGCCAAAAAAAACACCCTTGCATGGTTTGCCCAATTGATTAGCGTGATTAAGGCAAAGGGCAAACTCTCCTGTTGCTTGCAATAGCTCCCCCAAAACAAACACAGCGTTTCTTCCAAGACGGAATAGTGCTTGTGTAACACTGACAGACCCCGGTCATCGGCGGGCGGGATTGAACCTGGGACCTCTGGAGCTTAGTGCATGAGTCTCTACCGCATGAGCAAAAAGCCAACTGGCTGTTAGCTAAGCCTGTAGAGCAGACTCATTTAACTCTGTCTCTCTCTAAGTGGTCTCGGTGCCACTAGTGGGGACAGAACACCACACCCTGGAGATGTGTGGGTTACACTCACACGCAAAGAATTTTTTTAAAAAAAAACTATGTGTAATGTGCTATCTGATGACTAATCATAAGGATAGATATGCAGTTTCTCAATACAAAGCTCAAATCTAGATAAAAAAGAAAACAAATACCTAGAAATTAAAACTTAAGAAATAAAAGATCTTTGCTTCTTTCCCCTTTAAAATATCTCTTTAAAAAGTTAAAACCTCAAATATCAGTCTTACATGTTCTTCCCTTAAAGTTGAACCACCTCATATGCTTAAAATGCCAGAGTGAGTGAAATCAGGGGGCAGAACCTCCTCTCTTGTAAACTGTCGTACCTACAAATGCAACTATGACAATTTACATCAACTGAGGCTCTGCCCCAGCTCTAGAATGCTCAAGCCTCATTTCCAGAGGGCATTTGCTAACTGACTTGCCACCTCACCTCCTGACCTTGCCACATGAATTCATGTAGGGAGTTGAAAATCTGAAGAAAGACTTATAAAAAAAAAAAATAGGAAGAAGCAGGTATAGTATCTCAATCCTTCCATTCAAAGGGAAGGCAATCACAAGGATTTCCAATGTACCAGAAACTTATAGATTTTCAGTTTCTTCTATTATTTAAAAGAACCAGTGAGGATTTTTATCCCCAAAGAAGCTAATTGTTTCCACAAAAAGAGGAATTATATAAATACAAGATGCACAGTGGATACCAGGAGATTTAACCGGCTAATGACAGACTGAAATAGTTACCAAAAGAATGTGGAAATAATCTGTTTTTAATCCAGGCTGATAGATGATGGCAGTCAAGAAGTTTCTGGGAGATTTTAAAAGAATCCAGATGGGCTTCATTCACAATACCAGAACAGAGCTTGAAAAAAAAAAAAAAATTTGCCTATGAAAAATAATCTTGGCCAGCCTGTTTCATTCATTCTCCCTTCCTTTAGAATTTGCTAGAATTGTGTCTGAAATACCTTCCAAAATGTCAAAAGATTCCCTATTGCTTAAAGATCATGTTTCCTTTGGTGAGGAATCATTATTTTTAGATTTTTTTTTCCTGACTGTCAAAGTTTACTTCCAATTCTCTGATTTTTTTATTTTTTTTTTAAATGGGGAAAAAGACTGAGGGCAAGTAAAACATTTACCAAACAGTCAATAAAATGTCAGGACAATCAGAACCAAGCACTTCCCAAAGTACCCGGCAAGGTCCAGGCCAATCATAGAATCATAGAATATCAGGGTTGGAAGGGACCTCAAGAGGTCATCTAGTCCAACCCCCTGCTCAAAGCAGGACCAATTCCCAACTAAATCATCCCAGCCA